GGTCTCTTTTGTTAATGGACTATGGGTTATTGTAGTAGGGGACAATTTGGAAGGTGCTTAGAAAAGCAAGCTATATATTGGAGCTTATAAAATCTTTATGAAAAGTCTCATTCTCCAACTGTCATAAAATAGATGAATTGTCTTCAAACAGAGGTATATGAATACTTTCCAAGGAGCTGTAGAATATGGACAAATTTTAGGGAATCAATGTGCAGATCTTCCGCTTTCCTAAAATGGATTTCCTTGAAAATGCATCTTTTGCTCACCCACCCACCCATGTAGCAAACGAGAGAGAGTCCCCCTTTAAACAACAGACAGTCCCCCTTGTATAGTATCCAGGTACTATAAACTCTGAAGGGCTTCCTATGTTTCCCTGAATAAATACACACTTCTGCTGAAGATGAAGCTTAGTGAGAGAAATGCAGCACCTTGGCTCATGTTGGGATGTTCTGATTTCAAATGGCGAGTGCAGGGTGGAGACAGAAACAAAGGCCATTTTTAATGACTTTTCCCCTTCATTTGCCAACAATTGTCAAAGAATGAACACTTCTTGAGTGACAGTCCAGAAAGAGTTAGGCAAAGACAGCATCAGTAGGGAATACCGAATACCAAACAATGCTTTGTCAAGTATTGAAATGTAAATGATTCCTTATATTATTCTTAATATCTTTCAGATGTATCATTAGCTAGAAAAGAAAAGTGTCTCAAACAGGTAAGGCAGAAAAGCTTAGTGAGAGTGATTCTTTTAAATGTGACTTGGAATGGTTTACAGAATTCAAAATTTTTACAGGAAAATGGTCAAAACCCATGGATGAAACTTACATGTGATTTCTTTCTGATTTAGAATTTTAATCCAGTAAGATAGTTATCAAATCATATCTAGAAATATTTATTCCTACTACTATTTATCCTCTTTTAATTTTATTCCATAAAATCTTTAATAATTTATATATCCTATTAACAAAGACTAAAATAACATACTGGCTGCCATACCAACTAATTTTTAGCTACATATACATAAATGTATATAAATTGTGTATATATACATATTTTATATTGTGCATGTATATGCACACACATTTTTCTTTCCTTATATAGCGAAAGTATGAACATGATTAATACCACTAAAAAATACATCCAATAAGAATTGTGCCACATAGTTAAAATTTATTTTTCAAAAAATTTTTTTTTTTTTTTTTTTTTTGAGACAGAGTCTCATTCTGTTACCCAGACTGGAGTGTGGTGGCACAATATCAGTTCACTACAACCTCCGCCTCCAAGGTTCAAGCGATTATCCTGCCTCAGCCTCCTGCGTAGCTGGGATTACAGGTGCACGCCACCATGCCCAGCTAATTTTTTTGTATTTTTAGTAGAGACGGGTTTTACCATGTTGATCAGGCTGGTCTCAAACTCCTGACCTCGTGATCTGCCCGCCTCAGCCTCCCAAAGTGCAAGGATTACAGGCATGAGCCACTGCGCTTGGCCCATATTAATTAAATTTAACAACTGGGTTTATTTTTGTAGTTTTTGATCTAATATGCTAATAATAGATATAATGACAACTCTTTCCAGAGTATTTTCAATATCCAGAGCCTTTTAGCAAGAGGAAATGAAACAAATTCTAAAATTTCATATATATGTGTGTTATATGTATTTTATTTATATATGATATATATGTTGATATCTATATAAAGTGATTTTAAGAGACTTTACAATAATAAAAAGCTATAATATGAGGAATCACAGTTGTGAAGGAAATCGGACTGAAAATATAACCTTAGGAGTAAAAGGAAAGATGCAGCTATTCTGAACATTAAAGATGTTGTTCGCTTAGTTGATGGTGGGCATGAAATCATTACAACATTTAGAGTCCTTTGCATGTATCTGAAGGAGAATTGAAGAGTTCTATTCTTAAATGGCAATATGTATGCCATGCAGAAATCATATCCCTTAAAAACATTTATACTTACAGAAGACAAAAAAATAGGTATTAATTTTAAACTGTGCAAATGAATATATGAACACAGAGTTTTTCAAACATCTTTCAGATGGAAAGGGAGCAAAATACATACATACATACATACATACATACATACATACCTACCTACCTACCATGAACAGGGAGGATCTCGTGTGGCCAATGCAATCTCTCAGGTCTCTGTGAGGCTGACCAGGCCTAAGCTATCCAGCCTCAGTGACATTTATTTCCTGAGACTCTAAGGAAGTTGACTATTTAAAAAGATTAAAAAGAAAAAAAAAGACCAAAAGGGTATGTGCTGGCATATTTGTAGTATATCAGTGTTTATTTCTTGACGGCCAAAATTAGGAATGATTTTTAAAGCTTCCTTCATTTTTATATTATTATTTTCTAACATGGTGATATATTATTTAAAGTAAGAAAAAAGAAGTTATTTTTAAGGTCAGAAGCAGCAGACTCAGCAGCAAACCTCACCTCAGAGACATCAACTTCTCTATTCCTGTAAGGTCCCATCCTGCTGTAAACTGAGGCTGGGATGCTGGGACAAGAGTGAGTGTCGCAGTAGCCATGGGTGGTGGGGGAATGCGATTTATCTGTGAGTTTACACGTGAAGGCAAGGAAGGCTCAGCCCTGTATGCGGCAAGGCTGTCCAAACTAATCTCAGAGAAAAACAGTATTTGTTTTAATGAGTGATACCTGGCAGGGAAGAAATCTTTTCTTGTTTGTTTTTGTAAAAAGGCCTTAAAAATCAGCCAACAACTGCCCTTTCTCCTTGTGCAATAATTTTGAGTCAGGTTTCTAATTATAAAAATTGTCAAGTTCTAGGATATACTTTATAAAAGCATTTTTTTAAACTGCTACTCTTGTTTAACAGTAATCAAATTTTTGAAAGTGATTTTTAAAAGACATTAATAACATACTCCTAAATACATTCATGTTTTCGGTTAGATTTATCTTTTCCTTGCCTTGAAACCTTCACAGAGGCAGGGCATTAGAAAAAGGTATGCATGTTCAGAGGCTCTGGGTAACTGCTCAAGACAATGGAGCAAATAGAGAAGCATAAATGGGAGGAAAGTGGCTAATCCATACACTTCACACTGATGAGAGCAGAAAGAAGGGTGTGATGAACAAACAGAAGAATGTCCTGATCTTTACGTCTTCATCATTATGTGGAGGCCTCAACATCTTGCAATGCATTTAGGGACCATGAAGAGTTTACATCCTGGTTAAATGTGATTCTTCCCACCTTTGAGCCACTAGCCCCCTCCTCACTTCATAAGGTCATGCCTAATATGATAGTTACTACACACAGATCTTTTCTATCACATTGGATTATAAACTAATTGAGGACAGGATTGCTGACTGAATTATCTTTGTATTTTGTACTGCCTCACCATCCTCATCCTCAACTATCCCCAGTAAAAAAGAGCAGGGACTCAAAAGATGTAGGCAAGTGAATTAATGAACAAATAGAGAATATAATAGCCTTCGGTGGTTTAGAGAAAGCATGTAAACAGGGATACAGTAAAGCAAACAGAAATGTTGAAATTAGGCAAATTTAGTAATATAGATTTTGAAAATAATTAATATTCATCAGAGTTCAAAATGCTTTAATTTGAATCAGGTGAATTTCTCTGTGTCCTAGGAGTCAAGCAAAAAGTAGGTAAGAATCTGAGACAGGGTTGAAAAGGACCATTTGCTTGTCTTGCCCTGTTAGCTGCCAGGTAGCTGCAGGAAAACACCTTCCTCTACCTTGAGAGCCAAGCACATACTGAGTGTTTCCGTAGCCATTTCCTCCTTCTATCCTTTCTGGATAGACTGGACCTGAGGATAGATGGACACATGACATCTGATACTGGGATGAAACATCAGTGACAGTGGCACCAAGAAGCTGCCCAGGAAAGCCTGGGCTGCAATACCTCAATAACAGAGTATAGAAAAACAAGCCTTCTCACAGCATATAGAATAGAAAAAAATGAAACCAATATTCACTTTTGTAAAACATTGTACTTGATGAATCAAACCTGTTTCCAACCTGCATTATTTAGTAAAGGAGATAAGCACATCATAAATAACAATAATCCATGGTAAAAGGTGATGGGCACTAGAAGACAGATCAGAACTACCTCAAACAGGTAGAGGGAGTTTAGAGATACCCGCGGGGAAGATCTTGGCTAGGGATGCAAGCTTTCATCCTCTCCACATGTAGTACAGCCCATGTGGACAACGGCAGCGTCTGACACCATTTATCTCTCCATATACTTCTTATTAAGAGATTGACTGGTCAAAGTTCTAATTTCCTACTATTTTATATCTACAATCTTTTGCTTTTGCTGGTACCTTGGCCTAAAATATCTTTTCCCTCATTCTCTGCCTTCCAAAATCCTACTTGTTCCACCACATACAGCTGAAATGCCATCTTCCACATAACTTCCCTGCACCCTAATAGGAATTAAATATTGTTTTCTCTCAATTTCTACAGTATGTTGCTTTTACCTGTACCTGGTAGTTTTATTTTTTATTCATGTGTGCATTTGTCTCTCAAGTCAACTGTGACTTCCTTAAGCTTATTCTTCTTTCTGACCTCAACAGCATCTATCACCGTGCTCTGAACATAGAAATAGTGTTTTCTGGGAGGAAAATGCCTGGACTTTTCAGAGAGCACTATACCTGGACTCTGAACCCAGCTGTGTCATTTCCCATTTGTTGATCTTGGGCATTACCAAAACTTTCTATGCTTTCATTTACCCATCTAGAGAGGAACTAATAATGTCTCCTCAAGGGGGAGGGATAAAGATTAGACATAATAAATGTAAAATGTCTGGCAGACAGTAGAGCATCACTAAATGGTAGCGATCACAACTTTTGCTACAATGATTATAATAAAAAACTTGTTGAATAAACTTATAAAATTACCTAGTGTCCACAGTAACTAGCACAGTGCTGAGCACATGGTGGAAGCTGATAAATACACCTTGACTGTGGCTTGTGGAGGGTGAAGTCTCTGTTGTTAATGACCTACCTTGAACTCTTTCTCAATATTGGCCAGCACTGCCAGTTCATTGCTGAGTTCTAAAGCCGTCATGACTGGATCTTCACTAGACAATGACAGGTAAGCCGGACTTGCCAGGCCTTTATAGGCATTAATCCTAGATCTGGAGTGGCTAAACGAGTCATGCTTCTGTTTCTGGTTGCAGTCATTGCACTTGCAGAAATAATCATGAGGCCGTTCAATCCTAGCACCCTTCCGCAGGAGGGTGTGCACAATTTCATATTCCTGGCAGTGGGCAGCCAGAATGATTGGAGTCACATCATGGGAGAACCGTGTCCCATCTTCATCATAGGCATAAAAATCATCTTGCTGGAGTTCAGACTGGCTAGGGCTGGTTGCTAACCTCTTGCCTTCAGCAAAAGCTGGATGACTGAGAATTGCTTCCACAATCCGAACATAACCTTTACTAATAGCTAGAAGCAAAGCATCCCCAACTCGAGAGAGGTTTTCTTTCTTGAGAAGAAGTTCTGTAATTTCCAGATGCTCATTGGCCACTGCCAACTGTAGGGCATTCTGACCCATGTAATCCACACAGTTAACGTTGAGTGAGTGGCATTCTTCTAACATCTTCCGCACCACTGGGACGTTACCATATTCAGCTGCATCCAAAAAGCGTTCCTCCTCTATAGATAGGCTTGTTGAGCGATCACTAAACATGTATGCTGGTCCTCGATTAGCTAACCTTCTCCCCTTCTCACGGAGAACCGTCTGCCGCCGGTGAGCCAGTCTGTTGTCAGATCCCCGGCTGCAATAAAACAGAAAGATTGTAAACAAATCATATTAAGAGCATTTTAGTGTGCCAAATGACTTGCCATTCATCTAATACAATCCTCAAGTGTATTAGATGTTGTCTCATCATCTCTAGACCTACTATATTATAAAATGAAGATGCATTTATTTGTTAATGGATTCCAAGAACTTCACATCTAAGAAAGCCAAGCACTTTACAGATTTTAACATTCCAATTTGGGGTGGAGACTAGCAATTGCCATAATTACTCTGTGCCATTCAAATAGAAACTAATGTACTATAGATGGTATAGACTTAGGAAAGATGGACTCTCTTATTCATAATCAGTCACAATGTGATAGAGAATATAAGACTACATTTTAAGAAGCAGAGACAATAGCAAATCCAGCCAAGCTAACAATTATTTATTGAGTCCCTCTGATGCCAGGTCCAGGAACTATATTAGGTCCAAGAAAGCCAATAGTGAAAAAAAAAAAAAAAGATGCTTTTTTCCTGCCTCTACAAGTCTTACAGACTAAAGGGAGAGATGGGCAATCAGCATATTGATTTGTTATCAGCTGCTTAATTATAATGATAAGCTTATAGCGGGGCATCTATCCCAGATTCTGAGGGAAAATGACAAGCTGAAAATGGAAGTATGAGTAGAAGTCAGGTGAGAGTGTTTTTCGGGAGGGTGAGACAGGGGTTGGGTATAGGTAGAAAGTTTTCTCTAGCAGAGGTATCAGCTAGATGTTAGAGTGTAGGTTTCATTAATATGGGCAATAAATGCTTGAACTCTGTTGTCCTAAAAATCACTGCAAACCTGGAGAAAATTGCGATCAAGGTGTCAGGTAGGAAAAAACACTTTTGTGGTGCAGGCAGTGGTCAGAGCAGTGGCCAGCCTTCAATGTAGTCCTTCAATCTGTTATAAGAAGGGAAAGTGAGCCGGGTGCTATGGCTCATGCCTATTATCCCAGGACTTTGCAGGGCCAAGGTGGGCAAATCACTTGAGCCCATGAGGTCAAGACCAGCTTGAACAACATGGCAAAACCCCATCTCTGCAAATAATAGAAAAATTAGCGGTGTATGGCAGCACATGCCTGTAGTCCCAGCTACTCAGGAGGCTGAGGCAGAGTATCAGTTGAACCCAGGAGGTCAAGGCTATAGAGAGCCATGATTCTGTCTCTGCACTCGAGCCTGGGTGATAGAACAAAATCCTGTATCAAAGGGGGGGGACGGGGATGTGATTCTTCCTCTGATCAAAATGCTATAATGAAGATTTTTTTGTTATTAATTCATAACTTTGTGTCTTAAGGTCTTCTGAGCTTGAAGGGATCTCATTACAATTAGAGGTTCAACTCTTACCGGTATCACTAACTGAACCCAAAGAAGGCATGCTTTTGCAGAACTGGGACAGGGCCAGGTTATAGGGGAGGCTAAAGAGAAAGTAAAAGGTGTGATAAATGAGTATTGTTTCTTCTCTTTATGAATGTTTCAAGATTCATCCCTCTTTAAAAACTGTCACAAACTTCCCAGTATAAAGAGGACAATAAAAAGATCCAAGGACCTCATAAGCCATCTTTCCCTCCAATATGTTCAGGTCTGGAGAATCTTAGTTGCTTTCCCTACTGGCCTTTATCAATCTTGATTCCACGTCTCCAGACAATGCTGTCTGTGGAAGTGTAATGGCCAGGAATAGAAAGGAAGACAGTAAAGTTTCAGCAACTCACAAACAAATTTTACTTCTTGGAGGAGCTTGAAGAGTATGCTGCCATATTCACAAATATTTTTCATAGATTTTCATTCAACAGTGATTCCTTTAGCTACCCAAGGCCCATTTAAAATCAACCAAACTGATGTTTTTTTAAAGAGATAACTTTGTAAGTTTCAAAAATGACATGAAGGACCAATATTAAATTATACAATATAATAATAATTTCCAAAATGGGTCAGTAGATAATATATATGCAACTTTTATTATAAAGGAATAGCATCTGTGACTATTTTGTCCTGTAGCTATTACTTTATTTTTTATTCCATTTTTAATTTTAGTAAAGTTATACATGTGCATATTTTAGTTTATTCTCTCCATGTCTTGATCTCCAGAGGTAATACATTTCAATTTAACTATTTTCGCGGGCTATTTTATAATTTTAAATGTTATAACCACATAGCTTTGGTTATATTGTTACTTCTTGATTTTTCAGGTTTGGCATTACCTATGGACTTCCCATTACACCATACCTTCACACTTCTCTCTCTTACACACACACACACACACAGACCCCCTTCATGATGCCGTATCATTCCAGAATCATTATATCATGACTTTTTTTAGATAACTATTTACTGTTTAAAATATGACAATGCAAGTGCTAATCACAGCTAAGTGGTAAACTATAGTGTCTTTTCAGGTACAGCTTCCTTAAAAACTCAAACCTAGTAGATAAAAATTCTCTTCATTTTCTCAGTGCTCTATATACATATGACTAATTCAATCAAACTCTCTTCTCCATCAATGTAAGTCTTATTTTAATACATTTGACATATTATGTGGGTATTTTTTTTCAATTTTGGAAAATCTGGACCAGTTGCTGTTTAGACTTGATGCATGTATGTTGTCTTTGAATCTTCCTACAGTATCACTCCAAGAATTCTCTTTACTTTGCTTCTGTGTATTGTAGTCCTTGTTTTCTGTATCCCAGATCTTCTTTTTTATGAGGTGACTTCTTTGTTCTAGTACAGCGAATCTTCTGACAGCTGCCTAATAAAGCATGCATAGGTGAATTTTTAAAGAAGGTGTACATCTAAAACTGACTTTGTCCTACCTCTAAACTTAACTGATAGTTTGGCTGGGTAGAGAATTCAAGTTGAGGATAATTTTGGAGGCCTTGCTCTAATAAATTATAGTTTTGTGGCTACTATTGAGAAGCATGATGCAATTTTGATTCTGGAAATTTTGTCTCTGGTGTTCTAAAATTACATGGTTGTTTATTAAAGGGAATCTCTTCTTCTCCACAGTGCTGACCATTTAATCTGGAAAAAAAATGTGTCCTTTTCTGAGAAATATTCTTGCCATATTTATCTGATCATTTTGTTTCCTGCTTTCAATGTACCATTTCTGGAACTCCTTCTTTTTGGATGTTGGACATCTTGGAATTGTCCTTTAATTTCCTTATCTTTTCTATTTCCAATTATTTATGTTCAATATTATTTATTATATTCTGGGAAATTTCTTCAACTTTAGATTATATCTATGAAAATTGTTATTATATTTTTGATTTTCAAAAACACCTTGTTTATTTTCAAATGTTACTTTTTATAAGACTTTTCTGCTTTTAAAGGCACAAAAATTTTCTCTTCTCTCTCTGGGGATGTTAATGATAAAGACTGCACAGATCACAATTCAGAGAACTTACTCCTGAGTTGCTTATTTGTGTTTGTTTGCTTTGGTCTCTGTATTTTATAGAATTTTTCCTCATATAGCTAGTGATTCTTAGTAGCTATTCTTTGCTTCTTTTTAAAGAAATATTCCTTATAATGTCTTTTCTAAGAGAGTATAATTTCCCCTTATAAAAACTAGACTGAGCCTAATGTTGGTTTTGGCAAAAGGTGATTCCTGAGTAAGGGGTGAGTTTCTAGAAGAATCACATTATTTCTGAGTTAACAAGATGGATGAGGTAGAAGAGACAGGAGATCATCAAGGTTTGTTACATGAGGAACCATCCATCATCTTCCTGCTGAAATTCTTAACCCTCTTCCCTTCTCTCTGTCACTTTTCTGGCTTCTACTAACCTCTTTAGGTTTTCACTTCCTCTCTCTTATCTTCTGTATTTATTGCTTTGCATAGTTTCTATTGTAGACAAGAGGAAGTTCAAAAATTAGGGGGAGAGACAGTATCTTCCAAACATGAAGAATGCTTTGAAAAAGAAAAACTGTAAAATTAAGGGAGAAAAAAATAGGATCAGGGATCTATAAAAGTAAGATGAAAGAACTGGGACTGAGAACTTGCAAGATAAGTTCTCATGTAACTAAAAAAATGACACAAAACTGACACAAAATAGTAACATACTGAAACATCAAGAACAAGCCTCCATTTTGTTCATCCATTAAAATGGGAGAAACAATTATTCTGACCTATCTCAACAGACTATGCCTCCTGTGTAGCTGGGCTAAAGGCACATGCTACCTCACCCAGCTAATTTTTGTATTTTTTTGTAGAGACGGGGTCCCGCCATATTGCCCAGGCTAGTCTCAAACTCGTGGGCTCAAGTGATCCTCCCACCTCAGCCTCCCAACATACTGGGATTACAGGTGTTAGCCACCACACCTGCCCTTTGTTTGTCTTTTTAAAGAAAGAAAAATAATAATTAGCAACTTTACTTATATCTCAATTTTTAATCTGGTTTACAAAACTTTATTTTTTCATCCAATACTAAGTTTACATTGAGCTAAATAGAATGTCTGAGTTGTGACATCTTTTATTCTAAAATTTAAAAATAACAATCTATGATTTTCCTTCCCATTTATTTGAAAAATGACAAGTGCTATCTTGGCAAGCCACTAATCCTAATGATGTGTCCTATTTCCTTCTAAATTACTATCGCTTTTGTACTTATAACTTCTTGAAGGAACAGCAAAGATATTTCAGTAGAATTTTTTTTTTCAGTTTTAAAGCATCTTCTTAGTTGTTGTGACCACACATATTAATCATATGCAATCATATAATTTTCAGGTACATTTTTATAAAAAGTCCTGGATTATCATAATCTCTTTAGCACTCTGTCAACTATATATGAGTCTGTGACAGAATTACAACTCTGTCATTCTGTATCTGAAAAGCCAGAATGTATCTGATACATTTTTGTTTGTTTTTGCTGATTTTAGGAATATTACAACTGCAGGCACAATGAATTTTTATTGTTTTAGGCATATTACAAATGCAGGCACAATGGATTCAGCAACCCCTTGCATGAGCAGTGAACACAGTAAAAGCTGCTCACATGTTGTTGACAG